CTCATTGCAGTTATTTTATCCCCATAGCAAATGTGGATTTTTCATACTCCAGTTAATTCTATTAGCTTCACTATCTCCACTGAGGCTGGACTAGAATATCTAGCTTACTTTTTCTGTACATTAGTATCTACTGATTGTTGAGAGAGGAGGTGTGGCATCCTTTGCTCTCAGTGGGAACACACTACACTATTACCTCTGGAATGGCATGAACCAGCATGTATCTTAATATATTTTGTTATGGCCCATGTTCATGCACTCAGCATATGAGTGAGGCGGTGTATAAGTGATTTTTTTTAAAAGTGCTTGTAAAACCATTTATAAAGAATGACCTATTTTATTTTTAAAACTTAATATCATCTGGTGGTTTCCTATGAGCTGCGGAATGAAATAAAGTAGAGGAAAAATTGTTCCAAATATGATGACTGTTTTTGACCATTTTCCTTTGTTTCTTTTGGTCTATGGCATTGGGTCAAGGATTTAGGGAGAGTGGAGACATTGAGTCAAATTTTAGGAAAAGAGAGGGTGAGTTCAATTTGTTTATTCTGAGGGGGTTTTGTTCTGAAGGAATTCACCATGTATAACTTTACAGAGCATTCTTCTCCTCCATTCCTCTTCCCTTCCCCAACCTTGGGTGTCTCTAGAGGCTAATAAACTATTCTCAAAACTAAATAACACTCAGACAGCCTCATGACACCTGGAGAGGCTTGGGCAGCTGGGAGTGGATACTGGCCATCAATTTAGATCTCGACCAGGTCAATAGCATATGAAGGCTGTTGTCTCCCAACAGCTGTTCAGTGGCCTTTGTGAAATGAGGTTGTGGCTTCAATCCAGTTTCTGGACAGCTGTCTTCCTCACAAAAAGCATTGCCACAATTGGCATTAATTGGCTCTGCAGACAATTCATTGAATCTTGTCTTCGCTCCCTTCCCCTCTCACCTCTCCACCCTCCTCCGTCGTCTTCCTTCTTTTCCTTTCTGCGTCCCCCCTCCTGTCTGCTCCCTTTCCTTTTCCTTCTCCGTCTTACCAGTAGGTGGCCTGACGAAAGAGCAGCAGCAGTTCCTGAGGGAAGAATGTGTTAACACCTCAGTCTGTGCTCTCACCAGGGCTTGCCAAGGGACCTGAGACAAGGCTGTTGGGATGAAATGCGCCTACCTCCCACAGTGTCAGCCTTCCTGCTCCAGCCCGAAGTTGCTTTGCTCAAGGTGTGTCAGAGTTTACTCTGGGGTTGTCTATTTTATCCATTGAGCTTCTCCTCCTTTCATCACAAGGCAGGGAACATGGCTGTGTTTGTAGAATGGATGGGCCCACAGGGAATTTTGAGTGATTCAGTAGTTGTGGTATAAACCCCTCATTATAACTCACTCTCTGGCACAACCAGGAGTGACTAGAGACAGAAAGTTATAGTTTGTGATTCTCTTCTCTGATAAGAGCTGCTTATTTGGGGGGGATATATACGCGTATGACAATCATATTCCCAAACCCAAAATCAACACACCTATCCTGACCAGACATTTTTTTGGATTTATAATGAATTTATTTGACAAGCTTTTAATAAAGTATAAATAAAACTACATTTAAAGTTATATTTAACAAATCACTTGAATTAGAAGGAATAAAATGCTACAAAACTAAGACTACTTGAAAATCCATGGCATGAATTACTAACTCTGAATTTTTTTTTAAATGCTCTTTGCCTCCTTCAGATAATAATAAGGAAAAAGTGGTGTTGGTTTCCATCCTTGAAATGAGCACGTCTGCTTTCAGGTTATCCAACTTCATTTTCTCAGTCTCAATTTAAAAATAAAAAAGTAGACTAAAGGAAAACTTATCATTCATATACGTGTTATTTTTCCAACCAGAAGGAGGCAATATCAGGACATGATGTTCTCTTACTATGTAAAGAGGAAATTTTGAAACAATTTTACAGTGTTTTAGCACTTAATAAGAAGTTCAAAGCATTGTGCCCTAGGCTGCCTCTCTTTGGAATTTAAAACCTGTGTACAACATTGTCAGGGACGTTCAACCAACACATCACATATTGGTTTGTATTTAACTCATTACAATGTTGATTGCTAGGGACACTTACATGACCAAGAAGATATCCAAGCCTTTCAAAAGATCTTATGAAATCTAAATGAGAAGCTTGAATTGGGGGAATATTAAACAGATGTGAATCTCAGATATCCTTTGACATTTAGAAGGTAAAATGACTTAGCAAAACCACTTTGAGCATGGGTTTTGAGTTGCAAAGTAATGACCAGGACCCAGAAAATAGTTATGTAGAGAAAAAATGAGGTTTAGAGCTAGGGAAAAATATCCCAGCACCAGCTCTGACTCTACAACCTTGATGATCCACTTCCTCTCATCTGTATCATGGGACAAATCATACTCTGTCACTTTATGGGTTATTTTTGTTACTTAAGTATAAAGTTCCTTGAAGATCAAAACACTAAATATTATTAATAATTAGAACAAGCAACTGTGAACCAAGTGTAAAAAAGCGAAATGGCTTTGGAGAAATGTAATTCTAGAAAGGACAGATTGTCTAACAGGTGAAAGAATGACTCTCAATTTTGTGATTCATTTATTCATTTATAAAAAAATGATAAAAGAAATTGAGAAATGACATAATCAGGTTGGCTAGATGCCCACTTGTTCTTCTATGAAAAAAATCCTAAAGCCCTCACTTTGATTTCAGAAAAATAAGAAAAAAGCCATTTTGATTTATAACAATTTCTAGTCCAGATGTGCCTTGAACTTTGCATTTAAAAAGAAAGCATTTTTTTTTCTGATTTTCTGCCAGTCTCCTTCCTTAGCTTACCATTTACAAACATACCTCTCTCTTTGAAAGCAAATGACAAGTGAGGAAGAATTGGTTTATAGATGCAGAAGTCTCTACCTCAGAGAGGTACTGGTTTAATTCACACAGGACAAAATGAATGTGTGAGAAGGAATGAAACTTTCAGGCTTGGGCAGTTAGTGGAAGCATCATTTCCCGAGTCCACACCTGCCTCTGTCATTGTTGGCTGGGCCTCTGTCGGGCACGGCAGCTGTCCCATCTACACCAGATAAAATACCGTGTCGACACTTCCCTCTTTTCATCTTTTTCTTCCATAAGGATATCAGAAGATTGAGAAAACGAATGGAGTAGATGTGTATTAGAAATCCGAATAATAGTATTTTGTTAACAATGTATGCTAGTCATTGGAAACATTTTTCTATGTGGTTTATATTCATTTTTCTAAGCTCTGAAAGTCTTCTTTAAAAATTTAGTCCATGGGATGTACATCCAAAAGCCATCATGGACTAAATTGATGAGAAAAGTGAAAGAATCAGGTTTTTCAGACAATGGGGGCTGGTGAGGGTTGTGTCACTGCGGGTCACACCCAAGTCCACCAGGGTTTACAATCTGGGGCACCCCAGGCATATCATAGTGTATGTGACTGGCGCCCCCTAGTGTGGAGCGATGCATGCCCTGCCCATTCGTCCATTCAGCTCATCCTTCTTGAACTTGCTATGTGCCAGGCATGGTTCTAACTGCTGGTAGACAGCAATGGACAGAGCAGACAGGAACACCTGGTCTCACAGAACCTAAAGGCGTTCTCACGCCATTGTTTTTTTAGAGGCAAAAAGCACCATGCCAACCAAATAAAATGCATCTGCATGCAGAATTTGGCTCACGGGCCCACCAATTAATGACCCTGCTCTAGTCTTTTAAATGATTTCTGTGATCTTGCAGGTTTTAGGCACAGGAACAAAACACAGAAATGTACTGACCACAGGTGAGTGCCCACTAGCTTCGCTCATACTCAGTGAGAGCTCTGTGTACATAGGAAAGTCAGCTGATTAATTTTCTATTAAAATTCTATTTCCCCAGCCCAGTGTCTGTACTTGGCACTCCTTCTTCCAAGAAACCGTAATTCCTAGAGATGAACTGTTAGGTAGGTGAGGGAGGAGAACTAGAATCAGGTGGGGTCATGGCATTCTGCCAAAGTTTTGTTTGCCTCAGTACCTGTCCGTCTTGGAGACTAATGTGAGAGATGGGACATTGAGCAGTGGTCAGGGTGGCTCTTGAACCAATTCAAAGTCTGCTCCTAACCACCTACAAATTTAATTACATTTTTTTTTCAAGCAAAAAGTAAGATTCCCTAAAGCGTCAGGTCTTCTAGGAGTTATGCTCCTAGAAGAAACAGGGAAGGTGCAGAATGCAAAAAGCTCTCTTATAAAGAGTTTACTTCTCAATCTTACGGCGTCTTAATGCCATTTGATGGAAAGTTTTAATTTAATCTGCATAGAGGCAAAGTGGAACTAAAAGGAGAGGTCTGGTCACGTGGTTTCATGTCTGAAAGATTTTTTTTTTCCTTTTCTTTCTTTGCATTGGAAACTTCAGTAAAACTGAAAAGAATACCTGTATTAATTTTCTGCAAGCTGTAGAGAAATGCTATGATGGTACTCAAAGAGTTTAAAAAGTTTTCAACCTCACAACTCACTTTGAATTTCCTTAAGATCGTGACTCAAAAATATTTAAGGAACCTAGGTCACAAATTTGATGAGAAACAGAGTATATAGGTATAGAGATCAAATGTAAGCATTTGTATCTTCCAAGAAATAGAGCATAGATGAGCTTCCTCTTTTCTACCTGTCTTCCAGGATCTTTTCTTTCCAAACTCCCTCATCATAAATGAATAATAATAACAATAATAATAGAGGAGAGAGTGTTAACCTATCAAATTACACATTATATTAAATTACTTTCCCCAAAGTTGGGAAGCATTTCCTGAAAACTGTCAAAGGTATTACTTTTTTCCCCCCTCTCTCTCTCTTTAAATCACAAAGCAAAATTCCACTGTCCCTCCCCCCCACTTCTAAAAAAAAAAAAAAGTTGTCGAGTTTTGCTTTTCTATTCACTGCAGTCCTGGCCAAAGTAAAGCCCTCTTTCTCAATGACGTCAAGATCTTTACCAAGATTAGGCTTTCATTTCTCTATTGCAGCAATTAGCCAGGGAATGTATAAAAGGCTTCAGGGAGACTCACTGGGCTGCAGAGAGAGCACTTTGCACCACAGATAGCACGAAGGAAAGCCAGAGGGAGTGAGCAAAAGAAGAGTCAGACGCTCCTGGGGAGGGTGAGCGTGAGACAGGCTGGGAGAAGGAGAACAGAAAGTGTGTGTCAAACGGAGTAAAGAAGGGGAAAAAAAACTACCCTTAAAGCACATTTTAAAAACTCTGGCAACTCAAGAAAGAAACAGGCTACGTTTCTGAACATAGAGACAATGAAAAGCTAAAGAAAATTTTGCAGTCTTTGCCACAGTCTCATAGGTGCTTGGAAATGAAAGTAGAACTGCCTGTCTTGAACCGACTCTGAGAGGGATAACTGGATTAGGGACGGGTTCGCCAGTTGTGGTGTTTTTTTTTTTCCTTTTTTTTAACATCTTAAATTCTGAAAAAAAAAAAAAAAAGAGGCAGCAGCTCCGAATTGAATGAATTGATGGGCACAATCCAACTGCTGGGCTGGAGAGACTGGACTTGGTCTTGCCATTTCTGCTTCTTTGAAAGAGGAGACAGCGTGGGCTTCCTTTTAATTTCGTTTTTCTCCTTCTCCCCCACCCCCTAGCCTTCCCCTTGACCTTCCCCCACTCCCTCTATTACCACCCCCCCCTTTTAAATAAGAGGGTGAAGGTGGACCACAGCGCACAAGGGAAGTGGCTCAGGAGGCAGAGAAGATGGGCATCCTCAGCGTAGACTTGCTGATCACACTGCAAATTCTGCCAGTTTTTTTCTCCAACTGCCTCTTCCTGGCGCTCTATGACTCGGTCATTCTCCTCAAGCACGTGGTGCTGCTCTTGAGCCGCTCCAAGTCCACTCGCGGGGAGTGGAGGCGCATGCTGACCTCAGAGGGAATGCGCTGCATCTGGAAGAGCTTCCTCCTCGATGCCTACAAACAGGTGAGCTGCTCCGAGAGGGGCTTCTTCTCAGGCCAGCAGGGGCAGGGGCCCACCTGTCTGGGACTGGAGGCCCCTGGGAGCACTGGGATGAGAAGCGTGGAACCTTGTCTGGGGGCCTAGTGGTTATGCTCAGATGAACCCCTGTTTTTACTTTGTACACCTGTCACGCGTTTGGGGGTGACACGAAGTAAGCCATGATGACTCACGGTGATCTAATGAGTGTTTTTAGAAAGGGGCATTATGGCTTGCTGCGATTTTGGAGTAGAGAGTATCTGTGCTGGCACCATAACTTTGGGAAAAGTCTGAAAATATTGGGGGAGGGGAGACTGCTGCATTTAACCTGCTCTTGTTATAAACTGGGATTTTTATGTTTTGCTTGATAAGCTGCTATGTGAAGTGCATTAGGAAAGACAGTTCAATGGGTGGGCATTGAAAAGCAAGGGGGGGAAAAAAAAAGAAAAGAAAATGCTACTCCAAACTCTTAGAGCATTGACAAGAACTGAACAAAATGGTCACAGCAGGTGTGATTGGCATAAAACCTGCTGCTTCATTTCCGGTAGAGGTAAGAGTTAATGTAAGCAAGACGGCATACCGCGTCATCCTTTACACTGATTCTTTTGAAGTGGTTATCAGGCGCTGAGTCCCGAGTTACTAGATATCAGTTTGCACAAGAAAGATCTGAGAGCTGGCTGTCAGAAATCCAGAATTTGTAAGAACTGCATTTGCTTTCTTTCTCCAAAGTAAAATAAGTTGTCTTGGAAAGAGCAGATACGTCTATGGTTGTTGCGATTTCAAAGCTGTATAAGGCATGCCTTGAGCACCAGAGCCTGGCCTCGCTTACCTGCAGAAGCTGTGTCCCAGGGGCTGCTCTCTCAAAGCCAGAGATAGGATCTTTGTAAAAGTGAAGAAAGCTGGCATGCTAGCCTTTTTGCTGCTTGGAGCGTCTTCAACTCAGATCTTAAGGGGCAAAGTGGAACATTTTGTCATCGGTCCTTAGTCAGTGGCCCCCTCCTCCTATGCCCATAGGACTCCTGAAGGTCCCTGGGCAAAAAGAATTGACTCCTTTGGCAAAAGTTGCTATCAGAGCAGACAATCTTGGTTATCTCTGAGCGTGCTGGAGGACCTTTTCCAAAATGCCAGGGAAGGGAGTTTGAGAGGAATGTGGAAGCCAATGAAGTGGTAGGTACACTATAGCCAGGCAGCACCTCAGAAACAGAAATGAAACAGAATAAAGAGGGGGTAGGGAACGGTCCTCCATAAATAAATACTAGAAAAATAAATCTATGCACCAGAAAAGGAAAAGAAGTAGCTTCTAGTCACAAAGAACCCAGAGCAGGGTTGTTCCACTGAAAATCAAACAAGTGTTCAAGAAAATTGTAAATGAAGGAAGTTGTACTATAATGCATGTCTTTGTTATTGAGAGTAACCTGCAGAAGGCTTGCGTTTTTTTTCTAAAGGCAGGAGAATTATCACAGCTCTTGATAGTAAGTGAAAAATAATACGACTGATGCTCAAAGTTCTAACAGTAAAACTCACTTTCGTATGTGGGGTCAATGGGAGAGTGGTTAGGAGAGATTGAGATGATACAAATGTATACCTTGAATATGAAAGTTTTGTTTTGCTTTGGGAGTAGAGAATTTGGAGGAGGGTGGGCAGTGCACAGGTATGTCAGGTATATTGCTCATTAGGAACATTCATCATCTGCATCTGTATTTTGGAGGTCTTAGGGGATGGCATGGCAATGTCAGTGGTTTGATATCAGCATGTTAAACTTACTTTTTTGAAAGACAATTGACTTTTGCCTATAAAGGAAAGTCACTAGTTGGGAGAATTTAATTTGTATGCATATATACTTATATAAATATCTTTCACATGAAATACAGGGGCTGTGATGTTACCCATAAATATGACGGGAGGTTGTTACTCTTATTAAGCAGCTTATTGAAATTAAAAGGGAAGAAACAAATGCCTCTGTAATAAATGTGATTATTTATTTTTCTTTCACTAATGTGTAGTGTTCCATCATGTTACAATATTTTGTTATTCCTATTCCGGGACATTGAGAAGGATGAGAGATTTGTTTTCTTTTTTTTTTTTTTTTGCATATGGTTTCTGTAGTCCTCTCCTGTATTGGTTCTGATTCCTGATTTAATTAGTGACCAAGTTCACTACCGATGTTATGAAGCTTGCTTTTAATGGTTTATATAATAGCTACCATGAGAAGAAGAAACCCAAGAACCCACATGTCCAGAGACAAGACTGGACTGGGTATGTAATGAATGGAAACATTGCAAATACAACACTGAATGGAGTTCTCCTTCTGTCTCCAAGTATGGCAAGAGTGATTGATGGTGGCTGAGGTGGCATTTGAGGGTCACTCAGAGTCTCTGAAACAGGTCGAATCACTTCCCTGAATGTTGTTGTCATCTGTGCTACTATCTCTAGGTGTAGCCCTTTCTAGAGACACACAGGAGGAGGTTCTGTCTGAGATGCCATCACTGTATTTCACAATTCTGACTTGCATTATTCTGAAGGTGCCACCCCGAGAAACAGAGTTTTCCAGAATGAGGAGTATATGCATCTGCAACACAATTAGGCATGCCATCTCTAATTCTACTTGTTGTTAAATGTCAGATACAAGGGAGAAAGTGCAGTAAAACAGTTACCCCTGTGTTTATCTCCTACAAGAGGTCACAAAGAAATTAAAATAGAACAAAATAAAACAAAAAAAACCACCCCTCTTCTTCATCAAAACATTGAATGGGATTTTAAAAATTAACTCTGTAATTTTAAGCTTTTAAAGATAATTTGGGATTGGTTAGAGGGAGTTCCATGCACTGTTTTGATGAAAATGTAAGTCTACAGAAACTTGAGAGGGATTGAAATGAATAATAAATATTTGTTATTTAAGTTGTCCTAGTCAGAGTCATTGCATCTAACACTGCATCCTCATACTGGTGCTTAAGGACTCAAAAATGCAACCAATAAGCAGATGACCCTGTTTGGAAGCCTAGATTCTACCTAAATGAAGTGTAAAAGTAAACACACAGTATAGATGCTGACAAGCAATTTAGTTTCTGCATGGTTAATATTGCAGTGGCACCGAAAACATATTCATTTGAACATATAATTTTGGTTTTGAAAGGTTCTCTTTAACATTCTCCTCCTCCTCTTCATTCACCTCAAGCCCTTTGACACTGGTTCCTACAATGGAAAAATGGCTCTGTTAAGAGACAAACATTCTCAAAGAACACAAAGGCCACAGCCAAGCTTGTCCATCACTTGGATAAAACAGTGGGAAATGATAGAGCTTAGAATTCCATTTTCAAGGTAGGAATCAAAAACCGAATGACCAAAAGGGAACTGAGTCCAGAGGAAAGAGGAGGTAGCTTATTCTCCAACCCTAATTTATTTGGCCAATTTGAATGTAAATGGTTAAATCACTGCTTAATAACTCTTTGGCTAAGTTTGTAAGGACATTGATGTAGCCTGGTCATTATGTCAAAGAATTTGAAATTTCCTGGTAGTGAAGAAAGCCAATCCACGGCTTTGGATAGCAAGAAGGGTGTGTAAATATTGTTCTGCCACCCTCCCCCCACCCCACTTTTATCATTTACTTTACTTTCTATTATGAAATCAGGTGATATTTTGTCCAGAAGCCTTTCTCAGGCTGTGGGGGGAAAAAAACAACAAAAACCAAGGTTAGTAGCATATGTTTTATTTTCAGCTTCTACTTGATGAATGGTCCTTTCTTTTATTCCCTTGCCCTGCATTTCACATTCTACATGCTCAAGCAGCATTATCCTTTCCCCCATGCACTGAGCACTGTCAATAAAAGGAATCTCATCATCAAGGGAATCAAATTTTTAAATATGTCACATATTGACACTTGTTCATATTTAAAAATATTACTATCACAACATTTGAGCTTGGCCCCTGTTGTAAACATGCAAACCCTTTATTTACCTTCCTTGTTGGTGTTGTGTTGATGCTAACTGCAGAAACATAAGAAAGGACAACTGTAATGGTGCAGATGAGAGAGATAAAAGTCAACGATGACGGTATTGCATTTTACGTATGTCCTTTCTGATCCTTGCAAAATAAAGGGACCCTTTGGGAACATCGGAACTTCAAGACCAATTAGTGGAAATGATGCTTCTTGTGTTTGGGCATTAAATACGAGGCAGGGTTCTCTTTAGAGCAGCTAATGCTGGCAGGGAAAGAGGTACCGACCTAATTACTCTTCCGCAAGAGTAAAAAATGCCTTTTGAATGGCTCTTTGGCAAATATGTCTCATTAAGGACAAAAACCAAACACAAACCCTCTAAGAAGGAGAAATTAAGATGATAGGTAACTTGTGGCCAGGAGACTTTCTGTGCCACTGTGGGAAATTAAAACAAAGTTTGGGAGTACCAGGGGATAACTTGTTTTTGTTGAGCTTCTTTACTGCAGCCTAAATGTTATTATTATGGGACCGACTTTATTTTTTCCATCATTTTGGCTCTTTGTCAAGGAATGCTTTGCTCCTGGGGAAAGCAAAGAATCTTCCATCATTGAAGGCAATGGTGACTTTCCCATTCCATCTCCGCAGGGGGCATAACCAAGCAAACCAAGAAATTCTCCATTTGAAACTCTGGTCATAACAGGAATTTCATTTTCATGGTGATCTAATGGGAGAATGAGACATGAACAATAATGTCCTTCTAAAAGACTCTCTTTTTAGTTTAAAGGAAACTTGCATTTTTAAAATTTTTAATTTTTTTCCTTATCATTACTAAATTATCCTCCATCAGCAGGTTTTAGCCAAGATGGACAAATTTTATGATTAGTATGTGATGCTTATAAAAACAGACTACTAGTGTACTCATATTTGGACTTATAAATCATGGGTGTGTGTTTTTCTCCCATAGTATTTTTCTTTTAACATTATTTATTTTAATTTTTTTTTCAGTTTCAGTTGACATTCAATATTATTTTATATTAGTTTTAGGTGTACAGCATGGTAGTTAGGCATTTATATCATTTATGCAGTGGTCCCTCTGATTAGTCTAGTAACCATCTGACACCATACACAGTTGTTGCAACATTATTGACTGTATTCCCTATACTATACATTACACCCCTGTGACTATTTTGTAACTACCGATTTGTATTTCTTAATCCCTTCGCCTTTTTCACCCAGCTTCCCAACCACCCTTCCCTCTGGCAATCATCAGTTTGTTCTCTATATCTATGAGTCTGTTTCTAATTTGTTTGTTCATTTATTATATTTTGTTCTTTAGATTCCACATTTAAGTGAGATCACAGGGTATTTGTCTCTGTCTAACTTATTTCACTTAGCATAATACCTCTAGGTCCATCTGCAAATCAATTAACATGATATACCACATAAATAAAATGAAAGCTAAAAATCATGTGATCATATTAATAGACACAGAAAAAGCATTTGACAAAATCTAGTATCCCCCATATTATTACTAATGGCGTTGATCTTACCTATGCATTTCTCTTACCTGTTCACCCTCATGAATAGGATATCTGCTTATGACCTTCTAATCTGCAGTAGGGTCCAATGGATGTGCAGCAAAATAAAGAGGACTGGCTAGTTCACTTTATGCACTAACTAGCTGAGCTAATCAAGAACCAACCAACAGCATTAGGTACTGCTTATGTGGTACTACGTAGTACTCTACAGTAGAGTTCCAGGATTCACATTCCTCAGTTATCTGTCTCAGCTCACTCGTCTCCCAAATATAATTATATTCATTGCTGGTAGTCAAGGTTATTATTAAGTGTAAAATTCTTCACTGACCCCTCCCTATGATTATCACAACTAGCATTCATTCAATAATTTATTCAATAAAACTAATATATATAGAAACATATATATATATATATACACACACAAAATATATATATACACAAAATACATATATATTATATGTATACATATTATGTATATGTATTTTGTGTATATATATTATATGTATATATATTATATATATGTATTTTGTGTATATATATTATATGTATACATATTTTATATATATATATCCCAGCTTAACAAAATGCCAAATACCCCCACACAAAGAGCATTATGTATGTGGTAACTTTCTTAATTTTTAATTTTAGAGTGAAGGCAATATACTATTTCTAAATTTTCTAAAGTAAGCTAGTATGTCTGTATTTTGGAAAGAATTATGTGGCTGAATTGTACATTGTCATTAAGAAGAAGAAGAAGGTGCTTTAACTTTCCAAAAAATTTAACTACATACAGGTAACAAGAGAGTCACCTGTCACTGAAGCATCAAATTAGATTATTCAGTTGAATAGTCAGGAATAATGCGAAGATCAACAATTCTGCTTGGGTGAGAGCCAGGGGCATCAGAGGCCCATTTAACAAGACCACACAATTGTTTGTTGGTCTTAAAAATGACTCCAAAAAGCAGGTGCATGTTTTCACCTCTACCAAGAATCCACAGGTCTAATAGTTCAGAGATGATTTTTCTCCTGTACAAGAAGTAGAGCTGATTTGAATGCATTCAGATCTTTATGTTACAGTATGTTGAGGAACACAGCACAATAATATCATTAAAAGCAGCCTTCCTAGAATATTTACTCCTATTTTAAACGGGGAAGATCTAGTGAGAAGGTGATGGTAATGGTACCTACCACCTAAATTTACAAAGAAGTACAACAAGAACCCATGGATTAAAAGGTTTATAGCTTTAAAATGTATATCTTTTCCTTTTAAGTATATTTTAATACCTCAGAGACGCGTGTGACTTATATAAAGTAATCCATCTAAAGGGGGCTTATTAGGTTTCTTCACCTAGTGTCACTTGTCAATTAACCAAGAAAATTAATATAAATAAAATAACCTTTTGCCCAGTAGTGACTGAAAATAAATGTACCTATTTAAATCACATCAACAGCTTCTTTTTCTAAGAAAGAAGAGTGTTATTCTAAGATTTATTTTAGAAAACGAATAGTAGTTGTTTTAAACCTGCCCTGCTAAGATTTTTCAGAAGGAAGAGAAAGGACTTCTTCAATTCTTCCTCTACAGCTAAAAATGAGTTATGCATTAACGTAAGATAGAAGCTTCTGAATAAAAGCCCTTAAGTGTTTTATATCGGTTTGGATTGTCAAGTCTTAACAGTTCACATCTAAGTGACTTCAATTAACATCAATGTTATACATGCAACTGTATTTATATGAGGGGAATAAGTCAATCCATCCGGAAGTGTTTTGCAATATTAAGGATAGTGTATAAAAATCAATTGTACTTCCGTAAGTTGTCCCTGATGTTATTGGCTTTGATTAAACCTTTCTAGGGGAAGATCCAGTTGTGTTAATTCAAACTCAAGTAATTGGCTGTTTTGTATTACCTGCTTTTTATTATCAGTTTACAGATCCAAAGATCAACTATTTAAACCATGTGCAAAGGGGGCATATGGTACAATTTTCTTCTGTACCTCTTCTGCCTGAGTATTTTATAATTCAGAAGAGCTTGTTAATAAAATACGTGACAGAAAAATAAATGGTTTGTGACACCCTAGATAGAAAATGGGAAACAAACAAAACATATGAGATAAGTGAGAAAATAAAAGTAGAATTGTAGAATAATTTTATGTTTTTTTCGTTTGCTTGCTTGTTTAAAGGAAATGATGAGGTTCTAGGTATAAGAACCCAAAGTAAACAGTAGCTGTAGAAACCTCCAGGAAAGATGTCATACTGAGAAGAGCTCAAATCACTTCTAAGGAGAATTTTTATTTTTAAACATAGAATTGCCCAGGAAAGATGGCATTCTGTTTTACATGTTTGGGTGGCATCTAATAATGGCAACCTACACCCACACAGTGATTTATCATGGACAAAGAGCTATTGTTTTACATGATCTTCCTATAACCATATGAAGAAGACAGGCATGATTATCACCATTCTATAAATGGGGAAGTTGACGTGTTGACGAGGTTAAGTGGGACCGGCTCTTTCTATAAATGGTGGACCCCAGGTTTTCAAGCTGTGACCAAGAATAGAGCCCACTGGTATCATTGCATTGATTGAGATGAAATGACTTAGCATCATGCAAGAAAAATAAAAGTCTTCCCTGAGTATTTTAGAATTATGAAGTGGGAATTCAGAAAGAGGTACTATGTCCCATGACTATGATAATTTGTCTTAAAGTAGACCATTTAACTTTTAAAATGAAGTCAATTAATCATTTGTTATATAATATGTGCCAAGCTTTGACAGCAAAGTAAGGTTAGTGAAGAACACCAGCCTCAACTTAATTATGAAGAGAGTTAACTGCAGTGCCTGCAATGATAAAAATAATTACCTTCAGTGACTATACAGAATGAAAAAGACTTTTATTCTCTTTAGGGCCATTCTTTACATTACCTGCAATAGTGCCTCTTTACTCAAATCAATATATATTTACCATATCCACCACAGAAAATACCACATTTTATTAGAGCCAATTGTTTTTATACAGAGTGAATTGAAGTGACAATGTGTTTAATGTAGTATTCTCTCCCTCTTTCTTTTATTCACCACCAGGTGAAATTGGGTGAAGATGCCCCCAATTCCAGTGTGGTGCATGTCTCCAATTCTGAAGGAGGCGACAACAGTGAAAATGGCACCCAGGAGAAAACAATTGATGGAACCGAGTGCCATCTTCTTGACTTTGCCAGCTCAGAGCGCCCACTGGTGGTCAACTTTGGCTCAGCCACTTGACCGCCTTTTACTAACCAGCTGCCAGCCTTCAGCAAACTGGTAGAAGAGTTCTCATCAGTGGCTGACTTCCTGTTGGTCTACATCGATGAGGCTCACCCTTCAGATGGTTGGGCGGTGCCTAAGGATTCTTCTTTGTCTTTTGAGGTGAAGAAGCACCGGAACCAGGAAGACCGATGTGCAGCAGCCCACCAGCTTCTGGAGCGTTTCTCCTTGCCGCCCCAGTGCCGAGTTGTGGCTGACCGCATGGACAATAACGCCAATGTAGCTTATGGGGTAGCCTTTGAGCGTGTGTGTATTGTGCAGAGACAGAAAATTGCTTATCTGGGAGGAAAGGGCCCCTTCTACTACAACCTTCAAGAAGTCCGGCGTTGGCTAGAGAAGAATTTCAACAAGAGATGAACTCTAGATTAGCTGTTGAAAGGTATGATTGTAATAGAGCTCTTTTTTTTTCTTTAAATACATGTAAAGGAAAGGAAACTAAGAACTGAATCCACTATTTCAACTGAGTCTTATTGCCTCACTGAAAGACAGGAATTTCCATGTCAGAAGAATATAAACCTCTAATATCTCAATACTTCTTTCACCACTCAAATGGCATTTGGCTAAATAGTAGCCCCATTACTTCTATTTAAAAAACAAACAAACAAAAAAAAACACCAAAAAACCCTGACTGAAAAGATCCCAAGATGAAGAGGAAGACACTCTGCTTGATATAGCTGATGTGTGCTTTGGAACCTGAAAAAAAGACTTACCTGAATAATTACGATGTTAGGGAAAATATTGTCTTTGTTAGTATAAGGGATGTTGCCCTGGCTTTATTCAGCATGGATAGAGCCCAACTAGAAAATTCCCAAATATTTGTTTATAATGAGGACTTGAACCCAGGCCATGTGGCTAGGACCTTGGTGTTTAACATGATAGAGTAGTGTCTAATGTTCTCATTTCTAGCCATGCAGTGTATGCCAGTCTAAATAGCCCAGAACTCACAGGTGTGTTTTTAGCTGGCAAGAATGACTCCCACCTGGAGGGTGAGAATGATCATCAGAAATCTGAGAGTTACTTTCTAGGCAGGTAAGGAAAGCGCTAGAGGAAAATCAAGTTGACAAGCTAGGAAAAGGAGGCAGACAGATTAGGAGGCTTCACAGAGCTTCACCTTGAAGCTATAGAGCATGGGACTAATTTGTTAGCCATAGAAACATACATGAAGCCAGAAGAAGCAGCTCAACTAAAAGTAGCAGAGAATATACATAGGAAATTACCATATTTGTCAGTGCTCCTAGGTTGAGGGAGAAAGGGGGGTTCAGAGGGAAAAAAACATGCTTCAATATTTATATTTAGAGGTTTTTTTGTGTGTGGAATAATTACTTTTTGAAACATGTTTGTGGTGTGTATATTTTCAGTGGGTGAATTATACCCCATGATACTAATTAAAGGTAAAACCAGTGGATCCATTAGTTCTGGTCTGTCCCTCTCCATCCCTGCAATTAAGATTATGCCCAACTCATTCTTGGTCCCAATCTCTGTAGAAGTGTTCTCTCAATCTCTCTCTCTCTCTCTCTCTCTCTCTCTCTCTCTCTCTCTCTCTCTCACACACACACACACACACACACACACACTCATTCCCAGATGCTGTGGGAAGTAGGTACGCCAACCATTCATCTGCAGCACTGTTATCTTCCCAAAGTAAACTGCAATGAATGATCAGTGCAAACAAATAAGATTTCTTCAGTTGTAAAACAGAGGAAGAGAAAGTTAGTTTGAGACAATTTCCATCAGTAATTTTGGAGGCCTTGATATAAGGCAATCCTTAATAGTATGGATTTTGGTAAAATGGAATTCCCATTGACATTCGAATTTGGACTTGGGTCTTCCTTTGTTCTTATTAGCTGAGGTCTAGTAATCTAAGGCCTCTATAGCACATTAATATAATGTGATTTTAATATATATATATATGCCATATTTCTCTTTAAAATGAAGACATTATAGTTTTACCTATAAGTAATATAAGTGATATCTAAATATCATAACCTCTAAAAGAATAGACCTAATTTTATATCATATTTTTTTTGTAAATTTAAGGATACTATCAAATCACAGTACATGGTTGTATTTATATGTACAATCAAAGGTTCTTATGACCATTCCACTAATAAAAAATCATAAAATAAAACTAATAGAAAAAGATGTCTAAAGTTGATAATATCTTCCTGAACTAGTTGCCTGAAATGAAAAAAAAAGTGAGAACTGAGTGTGTAAGAACCAAAACTCTATTTTTTTAGAAACTAGAGCAACATAGTCATATCAGTAGTTAGTTTATTTAGATTTTAAAGCACCATTTTAACTGATTCTTTTACAGCAAGATTTAAGCTTCTGTGTCTTAAATTCTACAAAACACACCCACAAAAAAACAAAGCAGGTTTTAAAAATGTGACATCATCTAACGAATTTCTGGAAAATCACATAGAGAGTAAATTATTTCAGAGTCCTCAATTGTTAAACTATAACTCAAGGCTTATCAGTGGGCCCCACTGATTTTTATCTTCAAAATGGTGTTGAGATTTATGTGGTATATAGATGAACAATTGGTTGCAGTACACTCACACTGTCGTCCTTTAACTTCCCCTTTGTTCTACATGTACAATGATGGAACAGGATGTTAGAGAAGCTGGTGGGGGGATGAGACTTGGCTAAGGCAGTCAGCGCTAGTCGTCTGGGGAAAAGGATGGTGAAAAATCACCGAGCTGTGATATATTTTTAAAGAAAGAGAAAGTTGTGTGCATGCAGTTCCTCTCCTTGAGGATCGTCCGATGGAGAAATGAAGCAGTGGAAATAGACATACAAAGGCATAGACTGAATATCAGGGAAAAAGATGTTCAATCGAACATAGAAGAATCACTGGAAGAAAGGCTGTGAGGGGCCACTGGAGAAAGTGGATTGACAAAGCTCAGGAATCCTACAATATTTAGAATGGCTTGGTGTTGTCAGAATGATGATAAGCCTGTAATTACGTAACCTATTTATCTCAACATAAACTTTTATGATGTCCTGTGATGTATCTTTTATGAACTTAACAAAACTCATTATTTGAGATAGAGGGGAATTGATGCTTGGCTGATATGCTCTGAGTCATTATTAGATTGTCAATACCTACCCACCCTATCCTGTCTTTTATAAAGTATATTCCTTTGAGGAATTGTAGTTCTTATTCTCACAAGGCAAAAATTTTATATATATATATATATATATATATATATATATATATATATATATATATATATATATATATATTTAAATTTTATATACACAATTTTGAATTGTTCTTAGTGCCTAAGCATCTTTTCCCCCTGTGTTTACATGGAGCTACAGTTTAGCCTTTTAAACTGAATTACCTTGTCTATTATTGAAATAGTCTCCAAGCAATTTTAGATCGTATCATCACATGTGGATTCTCTCAAACATGTAATGTTTGAAAGACTTGTTTTGGAACTATTCAAAACTTACTCTATTTTATTGCTTAGAGAAAATATTAGTGGAATCAACAATGACTTCCTTAAACGGGCATGAATGAAATGCCTGCACAGTAGTGTAGAAATGTTCTATACAGATATTAAAACGTAACTGACCTCTTTAGAAGCAGATTAGTTACTCGGTTTTTGCTTTGTATAGCTAAAGTGACAGTCATTTAACTTATATGACGTTTTATATTTATGTTTTCGATATCTGGTCCTATGTCTTCACCTTGTTGATAGAATGTACCCTCCTGATTTTTGGTAATATCAACTTCTAAAAGGCCTATTGATTTAGTTCAATTCTGCCATTAACCAGGTAATGCCTCTTCTATGATCACGGAGGAAAAAAAGAAAAGACTGCTGCCTTTTGTTTTGCCTGAGTGTATGTCACTATTTGGGCTCTTGAATAAAATTTATGAAATATGGTGAGGTCATGCGTGGGTACTGCCTTGCTCCCTAAAATACCAGAGGGGCAGGTAAGAGACAATACCTAGGCCTTTGGGAAAACTCCTAGCTGGATACAGGGTACTCTCAGCATGCTCTATGAGCTATGTCCATAGCAAGAAGAATGCACTGATGTATAGGACTTCCCATTTTGTAAATCCTAAGAAGATAAACCTGGACATTTATTCCACCTGACCTCTGACTGATGGTTTAGAAAACAAGCTTAATGAAAATCGCATGGCCATTGCAAAGGGGAAAATGTAGACTCTGACTTCTGTCCCATTGAAAGATTAGTGAAAATCTTTGCCAGCATTTAAAGCTTTTCAGAACATGCCCAATGTCATCTCTCTCAGCAATGGAGATTAACCATGAGACTTTTAATTCTACTAGGAGCTTAAAAAAAAAAGATATTGCCAAAAATCAGTGCAAAAGTGTTTGTTGATATATTATAACCTCTTCCCTACTTCCTCTTTCATTTTAAAAATAGAAGCTAAACCCAACCTTTATATGTAAGTCCAGAATGGAGCATAAATACCAACCTCGGCTTGGTGATCAGTGCTCTCTTGGTAGTGTCCTGAGGTCCTGTATGAAAGAAGGGGACAGGACCTGGGAGGGTCAGGAAGTTGCTAACTGTGATGAACTGGGCTCTGAGGGCTTGGTCTACTGATTGGGGAAGATTCGGAAAGAAACTTCTCACCATTGGAGAAGGGCTGAATGTCATCCAGTGACCTTAGGGTGAGCTAAATATTGGGCCACTTCTTAATGCCTTACATTCTGGATAGCACCAGAAGCAAGGTCTCAGAAGTAAGAGACCCAGCTCTGTTCCACAGGGAGTCTGAACCAACGGAAAGCAAACATGTACCGATATCCAAACAAGACTGCTCACGCAAGTCGGGGCTCGCTGCCCGTCTTGGGCAGCAGCACCAGAGCTCCAGGGAGTTTATTTAATATTTACTGAGGAGACTTCGAAGACCCAGGAGATATTTAATGAAGTCACTATTTTGGCTCAAAGCTCCCCCTTCCACCTCCCCCCCCCACCAGCCCCCGTAAAGCAAACAGGTAAACACGTGAATGAAAGAAGCCCACAGAAGGGGGTGGGAAATAAATAAAATTCTCTTGAGACTTCTCCAGACCACGTCACTGGTCGGTGTGGTTTTTATGTATGTTAGAGTTGGAGGATGTGAAAACATAAGTATACAGTACTTCGTAACCAAAGCAATTAAAAGGTATTGGGGAGGGAATGTTGGCCAGTTTTGTTTAGTTATGCATCACATTTTTACCAGACTCCATCATTAGCCCAAGTAATCGGGTCCCCGAAGAGGGAGATTGGGATGTGTGGAGGTTACCAGTGTGCGAATGATAACTACTGATGAAAGAGTCATCGACTCAGTCAGTGGTTGGATGTAGTCACATTAGTCTGCCTCTGCCCGTCTTTGTCTTCCTAGCAAGGAGACTATTCGGGGCACGATGCTATGAGCACTGGTAAATGTGGTGAGAATGCCCGTGTGTGTATATCTCTGCTTCTCAGTCGCAGAAACAGAAATGCTTTGGAGATGATCAGAACGAGTTTTATTATATTGGTGCTGAGTGGTATGTGTGCTTTTACAATTTGTTCTTGTATTTTAGTAAACTTTGAATAAAAGAATAAAGTTACTCTTTGGTTCTATTTGTTTATTTTTGAATTACTCTCTAGACCTTGCCCCTGGCTGGAACACATTCATGCTTGACAAGGGAAAGAGAATCCATCATTCTAATATTTAGTCCTTGGTATTTGTGGGCAAAGTTGCCAGCAATGCCAGGTTATTTTAATCTCATGCTGTGTGCCAGAGTCTTCAAGGAAATCAAGACAAGTTAAAAGAAAATCTTCAGATACTTTCCATATTCATGAACAAGTTGCACACAGAATTCATGGAAAGGGGCCTGTTAAAGAGACTGTGGAGCAAACTTTTACTTTGTTATATTTACACCCAGGTTTTCTAAGTGCAGTAAGTGAACTTTGCAGGAAGTTGGTTAAAGCACTACCTATACACACATATTTACTACACACACAGCATATGTATGCATGTGTGTGTGTGTGTTATATATAATTTGTTATATTATTGTCAGTACATTAACATGGAATGAAAAATAAATCAACCTCCGAACACATTTATGTCAAGCAATTTCCACTGTGAGAAGCTGTAAAGGACATGAAGGGCTTACAGAGGCAGTGGATTATTAATGACAAGGAATCTATTTGCAACATGGTTAAATATGCACATTTTATTCCTGAAAACAGGTGGCTTAGCCAAAGTATTAGTATCTCTTGAGACTCTTGCTCATGATTTCTTACACATAACCATTCCATGAATATTTTTCATGTCTTATAGAATATTCCAGATTTTAATAGAAATTTAAAGAATCATTACTTGGACAACTATTGATTAAGTTTCTATTCTTTGCAGGCTGCACCTTGTTCTAGGTGCAGTGGGATGTGTAAAACTAAACTCACAGAGACATGACTTCCTCAAGGAACCTGTCATGGATCCGTCAAGACTCTGCAAGTGACAAACTCAGATTAGTCTACAAACCAAAACAAAAAACAAAGCCGAATTTATTGGCTGATATAACCAAACCCTGGCAAAAAGACTGGGATGAAACTTGCCTCAGAGACAGCGGGATCCAGGGACTTAGAAACCTTCAGTGCTTGCTAGGTCTTTTGTCTCTTCTCTTTTTTGGGTGTCAGCTTCTTAGTTCAGACCAGTTTCTTCTTACAGTGGGCGACCTGGCTGGGGGAAGCTCTTTACTTGCCTTCTAAAATGGCTGAGATAGAGCTTGACCTTGCCTGCAGGGAAGGGCTTGAACTGGACCAGCTGTCACACACCCACTCTGTTGTCATGGGACTAGGGTCTCTACCAAAAGAAGGAAAGCAAGAAGCGCTGGGAATATACAAAGGTATGAGAAGTTAACTCAGTAGTCATTACTGTTTTTTTATTGAGGTAACATTGCTTAATAACATATAAATTTCAGATGTACAACATAATTCGACATCCCTATAACCTATTGTGTGCTCACCACCAAAAGTCTAGTTTCCTTTCATTAGCAATTCTCTTTACCCAATTCTCCCTCCTCCAACCTCCTTTCTCTCTGGTAACCACCATACGGTATGTAGTCTGTATATATGAGTTTATTTTTGTTTTGTTAACTTGTTTGTTACATTTTTGTTTTATATTCTACACATTCGTAGAATCATATTTTTTGTCCTTTTCTGTCTGACTTATTTCACTTAGCATAATGCACTCAAGATCCACCCACGTTGCTGCAAATGTCAATATTTCCTCTTTTTTATGGCTGAGTAGTATTCCATTGTGTGGGTGGGGGGGGGTATGGGTGTGTGTATCACATCTTTTATTTCCATGCATACATCAATGGACACTAAGGTTGTTTCCATATCTTGGCTATTGTAAATAATGCTGCAATGAACATAGGTATACATGTATCTTTTTGAATTAGTGTTTTTATATTCCCTGGATAAATACCCAGACGGGGAATTGCTGGATCATATGATAGTTCTATTTTTAGTTTTTAAATGACTCTCCACACTGTTTCCCCTAGTGGCTGCACCAATTAACAATCCAACCAACAGTGTATGAGGGTTCCCTTGTTTGCACATCCTCTTCAACACTTGTTATTTCATGTCTTTTTTATAATAGCCATTCTAACAGGTATGAGGTGATATACCATCGTGGTTTTGAATTGTATTTTCCTAATAATTAGTGATGCTGGACATCTTTTTGTATGCCATTGGCCATCTGTATGTCTTCCTTGGAAAAATATCTGTTCAAATCCTCTGAGTGGCCATTATTTTTAACTTCCCTAATAATAAAAGATAAATAAGAACACTGGCGCATCTCAGTGAGTGATGGGATATTACAATCAATACGAAGTTCAGAGAAAGGAAGGACCCTAAGGATAGAGCTCTCAGAGGAGACTTTGTGGACTTAAAAAGGACTTGAATCGACCTAGGCAGATGGGCAAGATTTAGATAAAGAAGACGGACTATTTTCCACTCAGTAAGTCAATGTAAATTTACTAAATATTCGTGAGTTGTGATTAAAAAGGCCCAATCAGTCAAAAAAAATAAATAAACAAAACACTAAATATGTCCATTATCCTTAGAAAGGAGAATTCAATTCAATTCAGTAAAAGTTGAGAGAACTGAGGATAGGAGCTATGTTTTATGTATTTTTTGTATTTCTCCCTCTCTTGGGTGAGCAGACATTTAAATAATTAAAGTACAACCACCAATGAATGTGTGAGCACCTATTAAGTCACAAATAAAGTACTAGCCATCAAAACAATACATTCAGTGAGTATATATACAAATGGTATAAAATATGGTTTCCCGTTTTATAAGTGTTTACAGTCCAGGTGGTAAATGAAAAATCTAAACATGATAATATCTAATGTCCCATGCAATCTCCAAAGGTACTGCGCCTTAAAACCTTGAAGCTTTGCCATTTACTCCATCTAGAAGGACCTTTATGAGAAACTGGAGCAAAAACAAAGATAAGAGTGTTTTTAAATTAAGGGGGCCTTTCAGCCAACACTGAACCCTTAAAGATATTCCAGGAAATTTTGTCATAAAAACTTTAAGTGTAATGCATTGTACTGGGGCATTTTGCAAAGGCATTCAGAATCATTTTCCAATTTTCACATTGGTTAGGATTCACTGTAGCCTAGGCATCTTAGTCCTAGATATGTGCCATAGACAAAAGGAAGATATGCTGGAGTAAGAGACATAGACTAAAAACATACACTGGTGCAAAAACTTGAAAACTTTAATCAGGAAAATGCAAGGTCTGTTATTGTGAAGTTAATGGACTGTCCTGGTGAGCTTGCACATCTAGCTGTGGGGAACTAATGGGGTCTATCTGCAGGAACCAAGGCAGGCCACAGCATCACTACAAGTTTGGCTTTCCATGGAGCATGTGCTAGCATGTGCACCTTTTAGCTTAAATATCCAGGGGGAACAATCCTGGGTCTTGCAGCTGCCGAGGTCTTTTAAGGCAGTGGCAGAGATTCCAGGAATTGCTGGATAAATTGTGGCCATTTTAACTGGCACAAACCAGGGAGACTGGACTCAGAGAAAACTAGGTATCCAGGAGCCCACCCACTCCCATTCCTGCTTCAGAAAAGGTACTTGAATGCCTGTTTCCTCTCGTGCCATTGCCAGTCCCTTCATATTTTCCTTCTCCCTTCAAAAAAGATAAGAACTTTAGCCTGATTGCAGTGAGCTTGCAGATGAGATAGGATGGAGAGGGTCACATAATTGGGAAGGTCCATGTAATTCCAGCAAAATTCTTGACTTATACATGTTAGACAACATATGGGAAGCAATTTAGGTAATTTATTAAAATGTGTACAAACCACAAGCCTACATATCCTTAGAGGCCACTGCCATAGCAAATGGCATCTCCACTTTAATGTTGCAGGATCGTTATTTATCTGCTTCAGCCACCAAGTTGTCATTGTCTTTTGTGTTTCTGCTCACCAATGCTTCAAAAGTTACCTTTGTTATTTTAACTGTTTGGAGTTTAGGTCCTGTACCAATTCTAATGGGAGAAACTGTGTAAATGTTTGACATAGTCAAGTTTCTTTAAAGTAAAGAAAATCCTAAGGGAAATTTTAGAAAATCCCACCCTCTGATGGTACTAGGGGAATCTAGTCTCCCATCTCTAACAGTCTTCATCCTGTAGAGACACACCTTCCCTGCTTTTGTAATTGCTTCACTTTCCTTTCTCAAACCCAACATTAATTATTTCATTTTGTCAACTCCATTACTGACTATCCATTTAAGGGTGCTCCCTATTATATTTTAAGGTTGTATAAGTATAGACTATTATATGTTATAATGACTGAAATTCATTTTTTACCACTATTTCTTATGGAAAAATTTCTTTTGGCATATGTGTTTTCAGTTGTGCACATTTCTTAAAAGCACCTCCCGTGGGTACATCAAGGAATGCCTAGTCATATTTTGCTCAGTTCGAAGTTCTGGCTTACATCCACTCCTTCCCTTGTTCTGGTGCTCAGGGCTTCCGTACAGATTGGTGAGTGATATCAGGTCCACATTTTAGTTATACCTTTAGAAGATTTGTCATTTTATTACAGGCCGACACATCTATAAATATATTACTAATAGCAATCTATGTAATCCATTCCATGGCCTAAAATGGTTACCTTCTACATCCTAGAGAAAAACGAATCCCCTTCATATAATTAAGGAGAGAGATGTTGAATTGAATTGATAGTCACCATCCTAGAAACCAGGAAGAATAGAACAGGCATGCTCCTACTGGGTGTGCCATGATTATGGAGAAGACATCAAGATTACTCAAGGTAGGGGCTACTTCTGTTTCTTAATGATTCAGGTACATCTAGTCACACCCGTAGCCCAGAAACACCAAACGTGTTTGTACACTGCTTTTGTGTGGAGCTGGAAGGCCTCCAAGTAACGTGCAAGTGGCAATAATCCCTTGAGTGCTATGTTGCTTCACTGGCTTCTTAGTCACTCTTTGAAACAGTCCTCTAAAGTCACCAGTGACCTCCTTCTTATCTAGACAACCAGAGGTAATTTTTTTCAGGCCTCATTCTCTGTCTGTCACAGCATTTGGCACTTGTAACACTTACAGCTTCTCTCTTGTTTACTGTTCCCTTTCCCCATTTAGTCTCTTAAAAGTGGATGTTGCTCTAGGATTATTCCAATGTATTCTGTTTTTCCCTCTTGTAGTCTTTCTGAAATAAGGAGAGAAGAAATGTCATTGCAAATTACATTAGTTATATAGTAAGCATTAGGTTTGCCTGTGAGGAGCACAGACCTAAATTAATAATGACTTACACAAGACAGAAGCTTATTTTTCTCTCTCATGTAAAAGGCCTAAGGTAGGCAGTCAGAAGCAGCTGGAGAAGCTCTGTCTCATGATGTCCTTAGTGATCTAGGCTCCTTCCAACTTTCTGCTCCACTTCCATGGTGCCTTACAGTTCTTATACAAGGTGTGATCAAAACATACCATGAGTGTTTAAATTTTAAAAAATCTATACAGTAAAAGAAACATTGCCATTAATCCCCCTCAAAATACTCCCCCTCGCTTTGAACACATTTATCCCATCATTCTTGCCACTTTCTGAAGCAGTCCTGGAAGTCCTCTTTCATGAGTGTCTAGTTGCACTGTCATGGCTGCTCTGATGTCCTGAATCATTTTGACTTTAAGGAAGAGCCAGAAGTCACACGGTGCCAGATCCAGTGAATAAGGTGGATGAGGACACATCATAATGTTTTTATTTGACAGAAATTGCCACATACCAGAAGCGACGTGTGACACGGAGGGCTGTCATGATGGAGGATGAAGTAAAGACACTCACAAAAGAGGACTTCCAGAACTGCTTCAGAGAGTGGCAAGGACTATGTGATAAGTGTGTTCAACGCGAGGAGGAGTATTTTTAGGGGGATTAATGGCAATGTGTCTTTTACTATTATATGATATTTTTTTTATTTAAACATTCACCTTATTTTTCTATCATACCTCATATATCCATATCCCAGGCAGAAGGGTAGAAAAAGAAAAAAAGAAAGAAAGGGGCAAAGTATGTGGCTACCAGCTGTCTTTCAAGGAGATCCTTAGAAACTGCGTTGTGGACATTTCCACTTACATCTAGTTCACCAGAACTTTTATCACAACCCTACCTGCAAAGAAAGTTAGAAAATGTAGCCTTTACTCTGGACAGCCATGTGCCCACCTGAAAATTCTATTATATTACTGGAGAAGAAGGGGAAAACACATTTCTAAAGACATTCTCCTTTATTTCCTTCTAGCAGTTTTAACATTCGCTTTTCATAATTATGTGCTTAATCCACCTGGGGCTAATTTTGTTTATGGCACTATGTAAGAAATCTCATTTGACTTTACTTTGCCATCAGATAACTAAGTATTGTGGCATTCTTTATCTCTTTTCTCCCAATGACCTATAATGCCAGTTCTGACAAGTTTCCATATATGCACAGGTCTATCCCTATGCTCTCTGTTCTAGATTTTCCTTGCCTAGTTTTCTCCCTTTAGACCAATACTATTCTACATTTTTATTATTAGGTTGAACCCTAAGAAGTTACTTATATCTGTTTTTGGCTTATAAAAAATGTCAGTTTCATATGATTCAAAACTAATAGTTTCATAATGAGCTTTGTTATTACAAAGTCCTTCCCCCCCAACCCCACCCCCACTTTCCTCACTTACACTTTTATTCCTAAGTAACACCTTGGTTATTTTTGGCACTTTGCTTTTTCATATAATTTTAGAATCAGTTTTCCAAGTTCCAAGAAAAAACATTTTTAGCATTTTAATTGGTATTTTGTTGACTATAGTTTATTTTGTGGGATCATTGACATCTATATGTTATTACATCTTTCTATCCATGAAGATGGTATATCTTTCCATTTATTTAAATGTTCTTTAGTGGTTTTCAATGAACTTTTGTAATTATATCAATAAATATCTCATACATATTCTGACATGTTATTTTGGTGCAATATTTTAGTTCTAGCTTCTTTTAAATTACTATAATTTTATACACAGACATTTTTATTTATATATACTTACATATTGACCAATTTATTTGCTCACCAGCCCTTGAACACCAGGTCTACCTCATAAGATGAGTTTCTTTTATCCTAAGTACATTTCTTTTAATGAGGGTGGGTTTATAGTAAACTTTTATCTCTTTCTTTTCTTTTTCTTTTTAATTTTCAAAAATGTTTTTTCACTCTTGTTCTTGAATTAAAGTTTAGGTAGAGATATAATTATAAATAACCTTTAGGAGGTATTATTTTACTGTTCCCCCCCCCCCACAGTGTTGCTGTTGAGAACCTGTTGTCAGTCTGTTACCAATTTGTATGTATTGTTTTTTTCTTCTCTCTCTGAATGCATCTTAGATTTGTCTTTGTCATTAGGGTTTTGAAATTTCACTACCCTTTACTGACATAGAGATTTCCTTTTATTTACTCTTATTGGCATTGTGCTTCCTGTGTTGAAGATACATGACTTTCAGGGAGTCTGAAAAATTTAAAGCCTTTAATTATTTGAATGTTGATACTCCTCCATTTCTTTATTTTTTCTGTTAACTCCAAATAGATGTATGTGTATCTTTCTTCTATTCTCCAAGTCTTTTATCCTAAAAAAGAAACAAAAACGTTTAGGGTGCTGCATTATTTTTTGTTTCTTCAGATCTCTCTTACGAGTTTTTCAATTCTATCTTCAGCTGTGTCTAATCTGTTGTTAACCAATTAACTGAGTTTTAAAGTTCAAAATGTATATTATTAACTTATGAAAGTTATTTTGAGTTTTTTTCAAATGCTCCTGGTTATTTCTTAAAAGTACCATATTCTATATTTCTATTTTTAAATCTCTTTTCTTCCCCTAAACTTTTAAAGCATATTTTAAGATAATTTGTATCTTATAATTTTAACATCTAAAGATCCTGGGCTGTTTTTCTCTGACTCTTGTTGTTACTGCATTGCTTACTTGTGCTTTGATAATTTTATATTCTTCCTTTTGGCTGATATTAATTTATAGAGATTCTGAAGAATCTAGGTTAAGAGAATTGTTTGTCTAGATAAGATCTGTGTTTTCTTCTGTCAGGTGTCCTGGGCCACTAATAAACTGGAAGCCCTTAAGAGTTCATTTTGCTTGCAGTTAACTAGAATGCAAAAGTAACAAATGTTCAAGTACCTAACCCACGTAAGGACAGCCTTGTCATTATAAATTTCCATGGAAAACCCATTATTCCTTTCTAGAGCAAACTGGTTCCTCTGTTGCTCTCCTTCCTAGTGGATGAAATTTTTTCTCCCTTAGATTTTTATTGTGAGAATATCCCTTCAAATAACCTGACTCTATGCGTCTCATATTTTACTTATAACTGACCCAAACTGAGGTCTTTCTCACCTTCCCTGGTCTTGACCATTAAAACCTGAGCATCTGGATTCCTGCAGTCAGGAGATGCCCCTGGGCAGTTTGTGACAACAGCACTTGTTTATACTCAATTTCGAGCTCTTGTGGGCTTCTTCTTCTTCCTCATTTTTTAGCCTGTGATTTTTTCTTATTTCTCTGTTGGTCATCTATGCATTTTAAAGTCTATTTGATTTATCCAGAATTTCTCAGGGTTTGCAGTAGAAGGTTTTTCTGGAATAGATAGACAATCCTATTTGGGGAAGCAGAACTTGCTGCTATTCATTCCTTGGGAATGTTATCCACTCTAGTGATTATTATCATCAATTCTGCACTAACTCATGAATCCCAAATCTGTATCTTCAGACGTAAACTCTCAGCTGCTTTGTATTTCCCATGGGCATTTGTTAATAATGAACTAGCAACTTGAACATTTCATCAGCTGTTAAAGTTCAAGGTGTCTAAAGTGGAATTTGTCTTCTTCCACAAATTGATTCTCCTAAGAAATGTTGCTATTTTGTTATTTTAACAACTCAACAATATTCCTAGGTTTTAGCCTAGAAACCTTGAAAATACTAGAAATGATTACTGTGCCTTCATATTTTTTCATGCAAATTATCACTGTCCCCTCTCTTTGTGACACTATCTATATTATAAATTATCATTCCTAATTGCTACCTAGAATACAAGATCTAGCTACCTCACTTAAGATTAATTTGATATAATTTCAACGCATCTAGTGCAGGGGTCTGCAAACTTTTGAGATGGAAGAGCCAATCCTGTCCCTCACAACAATTTAAAAATTATTCGAGAGCCATAAAACAAATGAAATCACCATTATGTGAATAATAACCTTTAAAAGTTTTATAAATGAAACTATGATAGTTCTATTTTCATTTTCAATTTTCCTTCAGAACCACATGTACGTTCCCAAAGAGCCGCATGTGGCTTGCGAGCCATAGCTTGCCGACCCCTGATCTAATGTATATTGGACATCTGCTTTGTGAAAGGTAGTATACAAAGTGCGACAGGTGACACAAAAGACATATTAAGAGTCTTGGTTTCAAACTACTAATAAAAAAGAGGTTGTCTACTAAAATCATATATATATATAGTATTATTTAATTAAGCATTGGCTAAATATAATTAATTGCCTAATTGACTGGATCAGGTAACACATATAAAGGTAAGGGCGAGAAAGAAGTGATTTCAATGGGTGGGGACAAGAAAGAAGAGATTACACTGTTTGCTAGAGCTAGGGAGTGGCAATAAGGACAACACAAAGAAAAACAGAGCTGAGAGAGATGATTTACTGATGACATCATTTCAGTAACCGCATCTAGCCATGCTTAAATATAGCCTAGCTAAATAAGTCAATATAATTCCCCTTCTTCCTTTAAAAATTTTTCTTTAGCTTTTTTTGCTAACCTCTCTTTCACCTTTGAAAAACAAATCTTTATTTTATTGTAGCCAGCCTTCATTTCCCGTTAGGGGTCCAGTTGGGGGTTCATTTCTGTAACAAAAAGAATCCTGGTTATTCACCCCCAGTGAGGTTTTGGTCTTTCAGTGTCCTAAGATTCCTCCCTCCTTGCCTCTGGTTACTACCTGTTCCTCAAGACTCGTTTCCCCTTGAAGTGTCCCTGGGATCTTCTAACTCATTGTTTTCTTTCAATTTTGAGGTGCCTATTACATTTACTCTCTTATTTTTTTAGCAAAACAATAAAACAACATGTAGCTAAGCATTAACTATGTTCTATTTCTCTTGATCTTGTCTTTAATGAATGTTTAATATAAGAATGTAAACATTATATAGTCATCTTTCTATCCTCCTAGTGATAAATATAATGTCTGATTCATAGTTAGTGTTCAATACATGTTTATTGGACTAAATCTTGAGAGAGAAGACTATTTCCTGAGGAAAAAAAGTTTTTTTATTCCTCCCACATTTGCCACCAGCTACAGTGAAGTCTCTGATTCATATTTAGGGGGAAAATACTCTGTGACTTGATGGGTGATCAGGAACTATTTCATCCAGCATAAATATTCTTGCATCATAGGTATGCCTTAAATTCAGCTTCAAACAAAGAATCAAATTATTGGTTAGAAATATGGATAATTAAAAGTTAGTATTTTTACTTAGTTTCAGAGAATTTGTTTTATCGTGTGATTTATTAATTTACTGTCTTTATGTGAGCCTCTGATTCTAATTTTCAATTAATAATATTGAGCTTTAAAAATCATGGATTATGTGTGCTATGTTTGCTGAACTCTCTCCGTGAACTAATGTAAAGAAATTCTGCTTTTGGATTTGAAGAAACACATATTTGGATTATTTACTGTTGAAGACTCTGGTACTGCTAATTTATAACTAGGAAGGCAGAGGTCTTGTCTTGTTTATTCTTTTTATCCCCAATAAAGTTCCTAGAACACGGTAAATGCTCAATAAATATTTCTTGAATAAACAAACAAAATAATGTATCTTTATAGTAAGGTTACTATAGGACCACAGTTTTGTTTATAGAAGCTGCACCCTGTACAGTATCCTATTTTCAGAACTATGTTGATACACTGTCATTAAAATAAGTTGGCATCCTTTTCTCAAAGGCTTTATTTATCACTCAATAAGGCATTGTGTTCTGCAAACAGAGAAGAGAGGAGTCGTCAAGGGGGACATGGGAGCAAAAGATAGGTGTTTGAAAATACACCTCACTTTTTAAGTACCAAATAATGTAACTTCATCAGTGGTCCTTATTGCATTACGAAGTTTGTCAATAAATAGGCTTGTGGCCTAAGTGGTCAGAATACCTAGCTTTTTGTTGTATGTAACCAGCTCTGCATGATAATCACCTTATGTGATAATCACCTTTGTCGTCCAGTTTCCTTATTTTAAACTAAGAGGCTGGCCTTAATTTTGTGAAGGTCCTTTCCAGCTCTAAAATCTTATATTTTATACTTACTCCACATGTGTTATATATTCCCAACTTACTGGTCCACAATTGGAGGCACCAGTCATCCCTGCTGCTATTTGGCCTGAGAAGGTAGTTTTCATGCAGGGATGCAAGTCTGGTGTGATCTGACCTTCATATATTAAAAAAAGAAACCAGAAATCTGGATTTTTATGTAAAATTTTAAACTTTTAAATATTACCCCAAAAGTTCAACGGCTTTAAACACTGATCCTAACTAAACACAGTAGCTGGTTGGGTTTGGCCCATGGGCTAACAATTTATGCTTTAAAGCATTTTTTTCTGTCCTTCAATGACCAGTTTGCTTGTCACTGAAAAATAGCTGCTGCATATTATTTTCTGCTGCCTCCACAAAGAATAGATCTAGTCCAGTAGAGTTGGATCACTATATGTGTAAGTTGTGTTCTAGGATGACATTGTAGTTATGACATAAGGGAAAACTTTACCTTGGTTAAATTTCACTTTAGTTCTCTGGGTGTGATATGGCTACTTATTTCATATAGGTCCTAATCAGAGAATTGTCACGTTATCTGGGAGAAGAAAAGCGAGGTCTTCAAAGGACTTCAAAAATACTACAGCCTTCAATTTAGTAGAAACCTGGAGTCTATTTTGTATTTTTGAGCAAAGGCAGAAAAGTTGTTTCACATCTAATCCAATTATATTCCTTCTACAAGTTTCATGCTTGGTGAGTCATCTAAGCTTAATTCAAATTTAATCAAATCACAATGGTGTGGCAGAAAATCACATGGAGATTGGAGTCAGACTTGGGTGTGAACCTAATTTCAGTCACTAATTATATGACCTTAAAGTTATTAATCTTGTTTGTGCCTCAGATACCTCTTCTACAAAAAGGGAAAATAATGCTTACCTCTGATGCTTGTTGTGGGGAATAGAAATAACACATGTACTAATATGGAGTGTACAATAAATAGTCAAACTTAAACTAACTTTAGCATACGTCTTTTAAAGCACTTCCTATGTGAAAGTTTCCATTTGTGCCCCATAAGAGAAATAAATATGAACAAAGCATTACTGCAGCTCTCAAAGACTGAATGCTTTAATTGGGGAAATAAAATATAACCATATGTGGTTATTATTTATGGTAGACTCTAATGCGTATTAACACATGCTGTTGCATGAGAGCACATGTAAGAGTTCCTTATTTACTCCTCATTGAAAATTCCTTGAATCTCAATTATCTCAGTAGGAAGAGGTGGATTGAGAAAAGATGCTAGCAAAGACCTTTCAGGAGAAGGAAATGTCATAAGGAAAAGTGTATTTTCCAGAAAGCACAGGACATGTCATGAAAACATTGATGAAAAATATAATAGGAATCGAAGAGAGAACATACTGGAAACAAAGGTTTTGGACAGATGAAGCCATTAGCAGAGACATTCAACTCCCTCATCACCAGATTCCAATAGAAATGGCCAAGGTCCTGCAAACATATGGAAAAACAAGAAATTGGGAAATCCACTTTCTAAAAATGTCAAGAAATCTCAGTTAGATAAAGTGAAAAAAAAAAAAAGAGAGAGAGAAAGAGAGGTTAAAGAAAGCATAGAAGAGTGACCTAAAACTTGTCTTATAAAGAGCAAGTGTTCTCTGCTTGGGAAAATAGAGATTAGAGGAGACTCTGGTAACTGTATTGGGGCTCTAATTCAGAAAAGTGGCAGGCCTGGGGTAAGAAGTCACAAGAAGCAAAACTAGAGGACCACAAGTTCTTATTGTAGAGAAATGGAGGAAATTCATTGAGCTTCTCCTGTTCTAGTACAAGCCAACTACAATTGAAGTTTTTTCTTTATCTATGAGGACATGTAAATAGGGACTATCACTAAAAATGTAGAAATGGTGCTATATTCAAAAGGATAAGTAAGATCAGCTTTTCATGGGTGGAAGAAGAAAGTAGAAGTGTTCTCATTCCTATTATTCACATGATTAAAGAACTCACAGTTATGAAAATTGAGCAAGCATTTGTGAAAAGGAATATTCTGAAATTATAAAAGATTTCATGAGAATTTCAAAAATGCTTAATTAAATGAAAGAAGTGAAAAGTTGATTGAATACACTGAAAACTGAAAAATGATGTTTGAAACTTTAAAAATATCCCCAAGAACCTATGGGATTGGAAAAAAAAAAAGAATTCTTAAGAGGAAAAAAAAAGAAAATAGAACATAGATTTAGGAAAAAGTCTACACATAGCAGAATGGAAATCAGTGAGGAACAGATTGAAAGAACAGAAAGAAGAAGTAAAGAAGTAAAAGAAGAAATTGTTCTGAACTGAAGAAAGATTCAAGTCTTTGATTGAGAGGACTCATTAATTATCAGGTAAGTCTAATGGAAATATACCAACACCTAGATATGACTTGTTGAATTTTTAAAAAGAAAAGATTTTTAAAAAACTTAAAAGCATAGAAACGAATTGAAACAGGTTGGGTAAAAAAGAACTAAATTGGGAAAAAAGAACAAAAAGAACTAAAATGGGGCTGGCATGATATTTCTCCATAAAATACTAAAGACAATAAGAATGGAGAATGAGCAAAAGTGTTTTAGATTCTAAATTACTGTATGCAAGAATTCTATACTCAAAAATTGTCATTAATATATTTGAAAAAGATATTTCACATTTCCAAGGGCTCACATAGGAGAGTATGTCATCACTGTACCTTCCTGAAAAAGAAAAATTACTTAAACACACATCCTGGGAAGACAATTGATAGTTAAAACAAAATAATGAACTCAAGAATAAGAAAGTCATAGTTAAAAAAAATTTGATTTTGAGCAATGAAACTATTTTAATAATAATATCTTGGGTGATGAAATTTTTTGAATATCAAAGATAATCTTTAAATGAAATACTCATGATAAGAAAAGTAATAATAATAACTTGGTCTAAAAAGTCACATTACATACATAAAAACTTTGAAACTGATGAAGAAATGAAAGAATGATAAAGTAAAATCATGTCTTAACCACTGGGAAACTAAATGGATACCTTCATCATTGATACTAGTAACTAGAGAAACTAAGTTATAATGTATTTTTTAAAAAGAAGTTAATCTTTTCATCATTGCTAGAAGAAAACATGTAAACCTTCCAAATCATTAGAGAAAGGATAATGTCAGATAAATGTCATGATGCAATAATTAAATAAAATAAGCAGTAATTATGCACACTAAAATGTTAATAAATGTTGGTTCTATACTACCTAAGTATGAAATAAATTTACTTATTTACCTTTTATGCTTGCCTATGTTTCAGAACAAACAAATTAATTATATAATAAGAACAGATAATTTATATTTTTTGAGTCAATGAAGCAAATAATATTAAAATAATTAAAAATTATTTTCAAGTATGGAAAAATGCTACTGATGTACTGTCAAATGAAAAAAAAAAGGTTTTTCCACTTATGTAAATAAGGACATTTGTAGATAGACCAAAATATCTTTGAAGAGTAAAATTAAGATTAAGATTCATATCATTTTTTATATTTTTTGTACAGGTTTTCTAATATTACCTGGGTTGTTTTTACAACAAAAACAAACAAATACTACTGAGAGCTTGGCTGGGGCTGTGTTGTGGAGGATTTGAATTCCAGATTAAGGGGTTTGGATGCATTGTTGGTCAACAGGGAGCCACTGGAACTTTTTAAGAAGGGAAGTGATGTGGACAGATTTGTATTTTGAGAAGATTAAGACAGAAGTATTGTTATTGTTTAAATTGGATTCAAGTGGAGAATTGACTGGGATTTATTGTAATGGTCCAGACAGGAAGTAATAAGGGCCAGAATTACATCTCTGCAGCATGGACAGGAAAAAAGAGACACGTTCGATGTCGTAGAGAGGAGCAGTCAAGGGGACTTGGTGACAGTATTCAATGTTAGAGTTTGGGAAAGAGCAACCAAAGAGATACAGAGTCAAAGTTATTGAGAGAACAATGATGCTCCTAGCAGGGTTAGGAGAGTGAAGGGAAGTAGGAAGAGGAACAGGTTTATGAAAAAGGGTGATCAATTTGATTTCAAATATGTTAAATTTCTGTTGCTGAAACGACATCATATCTTTGAGGTTTTATGGGGAAATGGCTGCATTCCACATAGGAAGTGTGGACTTCTAATGTTCTCATTGAATGAATGAGCCTTCCCTTCCTTGACAGCACATGAGCAAAGAAACCAGACTCCCAGCCCGCTGTGGCCAATGACCCACATAAGTGCCTGCTTCCTTACCTGCCTTGAGACTGGAAACATAGCTCTAGCCCCAGTACCAAAGACACCTAGATCAAAGGGGTCCTTAATTGCTTCCTAGTACTCCCATCCACAACTGCTCTTGGACCCCGGCAGCTAAGGTCGTGCACTGGACTTGGCACTTTTTAGGGTTGGACCCTCCCTTAGGGTATGAGGAGTCTGCAGAGCCCAGGGCAGGGTGCTCCCTACACTAAACCTCCCCCCCTCGCTCCTGTACTGCTGTTGGAACCTGAGAGCATCAGGACTTGCTCACTTCTCTTCCCCAATCTGTCCTCCCAACAATGAGCTATGCTGTGTGACCCACTTGGGGTGGTCAAGGGGCGATGGTTTTGGAGGAAGATTGGGTGTCCACTCCATGTGGTTAGGGCTTTTTGTAGTGAAAGATGGAAGCAGATGTGGAAAAACAGGTGAGTGGGCCCCCAGATGGGGCCTTTACTTGTACTTTTGCCATGAATCACATAATATACCTGGCAGAGGGCAAGCAGAGGCAGTGTGCAGGACAGTTAAAGGGCACTCAAAATCTAGGAGTATGTTAATATTTTGGCTACTGGTGTTAATATGCTGAGTATACTGGCTGGTAAGGGGAAAATTAGACCCAGACTTTTTATAAGACATTTCTTCTAAACCACAATTAGAGGCCCACTTGAAGAGTTTCCTTTCCCTTTGTGACTCACAGAAGACTGAAATCACCATTTCCTGTTGAAAGAAGCAGAAGAAAAGAGATGTATCACACTTTGGTCTACCCTGGTGTTCTGCTATATTGGCCTGGCTCCTTAATAAAGACCATTTCCCTCATGCTTCTCCTCAATCCATGTTTCCCATCATGTCCTTATCAACACTCATAAGCCCCAATCCGCTCTCAAAGAGTAGATTTAAGCGCTTAAATGACTTGTACATCTACCTCCATCCCTTTTTTAAAAAGTCTGTCTCTACACAGAGCCTGACTGTCTTCTTTCATCATGTGGCCCTCAGTTTAATGACCACAGCTGATTGGATCAAAGGGAAGGCACCTGAGCCAATGTTCCTAGGTATTAGAAAGCAGTGATGATGCATTGCTCAAGATTCCATCTTGGACCATAAGCAACCACAGGAGGCCAATCAAGATAAAAAGGAGATAGAGGCCACGATATAGACGCCCATGCTGCCCAAGAGAAACAAAAATGTTGCCCCACTCCTGGACTTCCCAGTTCTGGTTCTTGTCCTTGTGGGGCCCTGTTGCCCTTTTTCTTCTCTCAGCTGCCTGTAAAACTTCCTGTGCTTTCTTACAGTACAAATCTTTTCTATAAGCTAGCTAAGTGTCTATTTCTTGTAACACAGAATCACAAAGACACATATGTCAACTACACCTGGGAGAACTTAATTCATTATCCTTAAGATTCAATAGTTGACTCTACTAGATTTGGTCATGTTGACCTTTCATCTCTCATATAAAAATGTTGGGGCATGAGACGTTAAACTGCTTGTCAAGCTCACTCATAAAACTGATACCAGATTTGGGTGAGAAATCTTGACTTGGTTTTCTTTCTTTGGCTGTCCTCATAGTAAGCCCTGTTCTACAACTCAGTTCTACTTCATAAATACTGATAATTGAAATGCGATCAACAACTTATCAAAAATATCTACACATTCCTTGGTGTAATGTGCAAATCTAATTTTTCTTGGTTAACTAATTTTTTTCTCTTCATTTCTTTACAATTAGTCCTCCTTCTTAGCTTATTCTAAACGTTATGCTGAATTAAGAGGCCTGTGAGCAAAGTTTCTGTTTGCATCTCTTTCGTCCTTCTGGCTCTGCTAGAAACTGCTTCCTGGGAAGGCAAGATAATAAACTTTATATTCAAACAAGTGATTTGGCAAAGCTATTGAAACTCTGGACATTTGAACAGTACCTCAGAGCTCCCCCACTGACCTCAGGCCTCAAAACTCAGTGGCTCCTCACTGTGGACAGAGTCACAAGTGATGAGAGTCATGGAACCATCTTCTTTATCGAAAGCTTGCTCATCTGTTCTGATTTCTAGGAATCCCTGAGCTGGGCTGCCTAGATTGCCCAGAAAGAATTCTCTGTATATTAGCCATGGATTTTATACAGTCCGCTGTGGAGTTGCATTTAGCAGAGAATATGGTTGGCAGACTCTCTCCAACCTGCTTCCCAGATAATTTTGGCTCATATGCAGAGATGTTGCATTATAGTTCAACCCTGATAGCAAATATGTAGGTAAAAGGGAAATGGAAGTTATAGCTTCAAATCTTATAAGGCATTTTAGTTTATAAATGCTTTGACACACATAACCTGACTTGCTCTCAGAAAGCTCTGTGAAGTAGATACTATTCTCTCTCTCTCTCCCTCTCTCTCTCTCTCTCTCTCTCTCTCTCTCTCTCTCTCTCTCTCTCTCTCTTACAAATGAACACACGAGCCTCAGAAAAGTCAAATGACTAGCAGAGCTAGTATTTGATCTCCAAGTCAAGTATTTTTTTCACCTGTATCCCGCTACCCATTCATGCCTTTACTCAACAAACATTGCTTGAGTACCTATGTGTGTTGGGCAGTATACTGAGGACTAGACACACAGTAGTGAACCTCTCTCTCCATCTTGGGATATCATAGCAGGGGTGGTGTCCAAACTGAAAAGGGAAAGAAGAAGTGGTAAATGTTATTTGGGCAAAGTGGGAGGACTGGGAGCATTCCAGACAGACCAAATTTTTATCTCTAAACTATCCCAATGGACCTGAAAAGCAGAAATTAGTCAAGGAAGCTGAGAACAAAAATTTCACAATTGTGTCATCTCATATTCAAATATGAAAATATGCATTAATTCGTTTTTTTGTTTTTGTGGTTTTTTTTAGAAATCGTGTATCTTGTTACTATCGCCGTCTCTAGAGCTAAAAAAGTTTAACACTTTTCAAAATGGCCTGTTTTTCATGAACATAATGATAATTGTTTGGCAATCTGGTTTGTTTTTACTGTCTCGATAATTGAAGATAGAATTTTGACGGTGTGCCTTTCACAAGAACTCTGAGGTTGCCCCCCTCTTTTGAAGCCACTCTTTTCAAAGTCTAGGCCTACTTTTTCCAAAGCCAAGTGGTATGGCTTGTTCACACAGCAACCTTTCGAAAGAGGGCTGCTTGCTGCAGGAGCAGGGCCTGTTACTGGGCATTTCATGGAGTGTTTATGCCGCAGGGCAATACCTCCAACCAGTGAAGCCAAGTCCTGACTGCTCTGGACACACAGGACACCTGTCTCCGTGACAAGGACTAACAAAGTCAGGTGGGACCAAATTATAACAGCCTGGTTTGGATGTGTTAGAAGGCCGACTTTGTCGGCCCTCAGATTGGCAGTTGTCAGAAAGGAAGAAAGGATATAATTCTTGCTAAATCATTACATCTTTGGAGCATAGTTTCATCATCTTTCTAATGAATCCCATACTCCACTGGCTTTGAGAAGAGTCAACGCCCAAACAATGTAATAGGCATTGCGTTTGGAAGCAGGAGAGTATTCCCAGGGGTGCGGAAGGAGACGGTTTACAACACAACCTTGAGAACAGCACTAGAAAGAGAGTAGGGAAAGTGCAAGAACAGGGAACAAAACTGGCCTAGGTCAGATCACATGTCACACGTACAACCCGATCAACCCAAGACATGTATGTACATAGACCATCAAGGGATCTGGTGAAAACTCTGTATTCAATTATCATTGAGATAGTGATTTCTAAGTGAATTCATTGGAAGTAGCTGGGTTGGCAATTCATGAGGGGAAAACTCAGTACAAGGTCAAGAATAAGGGGTTAGGGGAAGAGCAAGGAGTGTGGCAGGTGCCTGCCTCTGGTTGAATGGCTTAGAAGGCACGACTTCAGGATGAATTAAATTTATAAAATTTATAAATGAATAAATTAAGGTATCAGAAAACACTTTTAGTATGACTATTGCAGCATTATTATTATTAAAATGCATATAACTTAGTTCTTACTTTGAAGGAGTTCACAGCTTAGAAGGGGAGACATAAATGAAAAAATGTTAGGGTACGATTTAGAATGTTTTGCATGGAGTACTAAGGCAGTACAAAGGGGATTATCTCTGCCTGGGAGAGCTGGGAAAACTTCCTGGTGGAGGAGACATTTTATCTGAATCTTGATGGGTGCAAAAAAGTTTGCCAGAATGAAGAAAAAGGAAACACATCCCAGGATAAGAGAACTAATTATCTCTTTCCCCACATACCTTTCTCCACTATCTCCTGTTGAAAATCAAACACGTTATTTGAGAAAGCTGACCCTTGTCATTGTCAAGGGTAAATTTATCATATTAGAAATAAGAGCCCTAAGGATAGAAAGCAGTGTGGTACAATAGAAATATAATGTGAGCCACAAATGTAAGCTTATAATTTGTAGTAACCATGGTAACAAAAAGGACGGTAAGGGAAAATAGTTTAATTAGAATAATATATTTTATTTAACCTAACATATCCAAAATCTTTTCATTTCAACATGTAATCAATATAACAACATTTAGGTGATGTTCTACATTCTCTTTTCGTACTAAATCCTTGAAATCTGTTATGTATTTTATACTTTATAGCATATTTCAAGTCAGGCTAACTACATTTCGAATACTCAGTAGACACATGTGGTTACTGGCTACTGTATTGGACACCTTAGAAAACCAGCTTATTAATGTTCAGGGTGGGCTTACCCCCAGGAGGGTAAACTTAGAATGGATCACACGGGAGGAAGGAGAGTTCAGAGACAAGGTGCTTAGCAGGAGCTCACATGACAAGCCTTGCTTGTTTCCTGATTTTATTCAAAGCCACCCAGCAAGGTCAGTGCCTGTGTCTGCGGCTCCACCCACAGAAAGTATGTTCAAGTCAAGTTTTCCTGGGAAAATTCTCAGTTTTAATTTTATTTAAAAAGCCCACAGGCTATTCTTCTCAGTGCTTACTAATGTTTTTTCCAGCTCTCTTTAAAAAAAAAAAAAACAGGTCCCTGAAATTTCCCTCACATATTAGCCCCAGTGGACCCTGTCTCTGTTTCATAGAAACGTTGCCCAGAAATGAGCTCATGGACCGTCCGTCTCATCCTGGCCAGAGGCAAGTAGTACTGTCTGGGGGACCAGGAGCAGAGGTCAGAGGCAAGCTCAATGTCCCTGACATAATGAGCTGCTTTGTGCACTCAGAGAGACCAGTCATAAACGGTGCCCCAAACTGGCTCAGCTCTGTGTGAGGGATCAACTCCTTGATCCCATAGATTAGGTTGGCCAAGGGAACCACTCATGGAGGACTTTCCCTCTTATGCTCCTGACAGACGTCCCGGCACGCACCCAGACTTCTATCTCTCTACCAATACCTAAAATAAAGCAGTGCATAGGACGCCCCTGCACTTGACCTGGTCTTTTTCTCTAAGGAAACTTCCCAATTATACTTTTACTCCTGCAATGTCAAGGGAAGCTATCCAGCACGTGGCTGTAGCTGCCAGATCTGTATTTGATACCATAGGGACCAAGAAACCATCAGTAGAAGGCACTGCTCTTTGTATGAGTCCTGTGCTATCTTTACTGCTTATGAGAGTCGCTTGTGTTGTGTATGGATGCCAAAGGGCTATTTGAAGGATACAAGCTATTTCCATTTATCTTTTTTGGTGGTAGATAACTCAGGATCTCTGTGAAATTTGCTGGGAGTAGTTAAAAGGCATGTACTCTAGGAAAATGCCATATACCGGTATGTCTTGACAAGTCAGAATGGAAGTACTAAGTAGTTTTTGTTTGTATTCTACCATCATCATCATCTATTGTCATTATTATGATTATTATTGTTGTTGTTTTCTCCAGTTTTGCTCATTTCTTGAGATGTATATATCTTGATTATTTAAGTGTCTTTACATTCTCTCTACTAAAGGCTTTTAGGCTGCCTAGTCCATCAGAAGAAAATGTTTGTGCATGTACGTGCATAGATGCAACTTCAGCCTTTGAGTACAGGTAAATAGATAAGACAAGTCATTATTAAAGTCATTATAGCCTGGGTCATTACCCACAATACCATCTGCATATATTTTATCAAGCCTCCTTCTATTAAAAAGCCATTAAATTACTTCTTGTTGGAAGTTTATAAATCAGCCCATACGACAGATAAATAGGACACCAAATAACTGTTTTAATTGTCCCTGCTACCATCACTCAGTCTATTTATTCATTGACAGCACTTTAATTAAAGATACCCTAAGTCTGATGTTGTCTGTGGATTGGAGGGTAAAACTAGGGCTGCGATACTGAAAGAAGAGGCTGGATTCCACATGGTTCTGCTTACACAGGGCAATTGATAGCACGATTTTAAATATATACCTCCCTCTTGTGAAAAATGATTTGTTTGTTAATAACTTGAAGAAGTAAGCAAAAGTGGAGAGGATTTTGCAATTATATTTGCTTATGGAATGTTACTCATAGAATCTCACTTGAAACCCATCTAAACACATTGTTATTTCCAGGATAAGGGACCTGTATTGTCTTTGGTATGTATCAATGTATATTATGCATATGAAGCTTAATCCTCTTTGTTCTCCAGCCCCTCCTCTGTGAGCTACCGTTTGATATCAGTCCTATTCTAGTCCTTACTGCCTGTGGGAGTTGCCTGTGTTGTGTGTGTGTGTGCCTTGGGGATAGTTGGGGAAGGCCCAGCCAAGAGGCCAACCAGTGGTTAAGTTCTGTATTGCTAGACAAGGGTTCTCATCCAAGACAACAAAAGATGCTGAGACCACAAGAATTGCCTCAGTCAAAAACAGTAAGAATAGAACCACGGACCAAATTTCAAGTGAGAAAATGAACACTAAATCTGGAGGGGCCAAAATTGGAGATCAAAGCTGAGAGTGTAGAGGCAAGAATTTGGAACTCGGCAGATTTGCCACTGTTGGGGAGGAACAAACTTCCCTCTAGCCTCAAGGTTCTTCTGGGTGGTCGACATGAGACAGATTGGCAAGAGAAAAATAACCAAATTTAATACATACGTATGTATGGGAACGTCACATACATGACAGAATCAGAGGCCCCACATGCAGGAGAGATTCAGAGACAGAAAGCGGGGGTCTAGGTATGCAAGACATCTTGAGCTAGTAGTGAGGTAGTGCACCTTGGGGGCTTCAAAGAGTTATTGCAGGATGACAAGAACAGAAGTTTAATAAATAGAACTTTGCCCTGCTGTATACTTGTAGAAGAGGTCAAAAGAAGACATGTCTTATGGGAAAGGCCCCTAATTCAAATTCTTCTAGGTACTTAAAGGGAGGGGCAGAAGTTTCTCATGAGCCTGTGACTAAAGTTGCCTTTAGCTCAAAGTAACCTGTATACCCCTGAGGCACATCTTGGGGTGGCTCGCTCTGAACCCCCAAACCACCTAACTAGCAAATGCAGGATTTGGATAACAAACCCTTGCTTACCATGACACTAAAGGTCTCTGTATAACAGACCATACTTTCTCCTCTTCTATTAATAACTAGATTTTGGACTTTGGTCAAAGCATTGAACCTCCTGTTTCATAGGTGCAAATATAATCTGACAAGATGGTTATACTTGTGAAGAAGTTCTGAAAATATTATGCAGATATAAATCATTATCATTAGATA